TAAAAGTGAGCACGAACTTGGTGGAAAGGAACATTTGAAGACTTTTGTCACGTGAGTTTTTGCCTAAACTATCTGAGCTCTTCTTTAGTTTAAGCTTATACATTTGTTGCTGTTATTGTGGGCAGATCGTACTTGCAGGAAGACACGGCGGCTTTTGAGCGCGTTGCAGGGGCCTCTCCGTTACCGGTTTATAAAATGAAGCCGGTGAGTGTTGGTGATTCAAAGAAGAACGTGCCAGTAAACTCAACGGTCAAGCCTGGGGAGACTGACGAGGCGGCACTGAAGAAGCAGAAGATTACTGCATAATTCTCTGTGGTTGGATGCTCCCTAAGCTGAAACAAGTGGATCATTTTTTGTAGTTTTGTCTTTTGTCAGAAGTATTCACTCTATTTCGTTATGTATTTCATAACTCCCGGATAGATATAACGGCTAGCTTACGCTCTTGAGAGGAAGCCATCCGTGACAATTTGATCTGGTTCGGGTTCCAGCTGAGACTTGGGGTCGAAGTTCATCTCGCGCATCAGTTCCTTGATCGTGAGCACGACTTCTGATGCGCTTGGTCGGTTGGTTGGCCTTCCTTCGAGACATCTTGACGCCAGCGCTAAGACTCCTGGCGGACAATCGTTGTAGAATGTCGGGCGCAACGAGCCAAGTGCCACTTTCTCGAGTATTTTCTTTTCCTGTGAACGCCGTTCGTCGGGGTTGTCTTGTGCTGGGGTACCAGAGTTCCAGTATGGGTAGTCGTCTGTGTCGATCTCGGAGAGCACGACACCAAAGGAGAAAATATCTGCTCGTTCGTCGTAATCTCTTCCCAACAAGACTTCTGGAGCAATCCAAAACGACGTACCAACACCTGGAGTCATGAATCGACCAGGCACGTCAGCGACGTTAGCCACTTGACGTTCTCGAGATACTCCAAAGTCGCTGAGTTTGGCCTCATAGGCGTTGTTCAGTAGCACGTTCTTGGACTTGAGATCACGGTGAATGACCTTGGGATTCAGCGAGTGCATGTACGCGAGTCCTTCTGCGATGTGAAGTGCAATGGTGAGTTTTCTGTCTTGCCACGTTAGTCCATTGTCGACTGTGCTTTCTCGGTGCTTTAAAATGTGAAGAACATCTCGTAAATCACCTCGTTCCATGTATTCCGTCACAGCACTTAAGTTTCGGAGAGAATCCCATGCAACGCCGATGAATTCCACGATGCGTTCATGTTTCAGTGCTCCCATGAGCGTAATCTCTCGAATGAACATCCGGATTTGAGATAGCTTCTCACATTTCTCGCGTATAATTTTCTTGATGGCCACACGTCGATGTTTGTACATGCCC